ATGTATGTTTATATGCAACTGATCTAGAATCAAACGTTAAAATAAAGCGCTTTAGGATAGGGGTCACTAATGGAAGAAATGTCCACTATTTTTTTGCATATTTGTGGAAGAGTTGTTCAAAACCTATACATGAAACCTCTAAAAATAGATAACAGATCACAGATACAAACCTCTCATCGAACACACTCACTAAAAATATATACTCGTTCTGATTTTTGTTTATTTTTGTAGATATTTTGAGAGAAAAATGTGTATATAATCTTTGATAAAGATAGTTTTTCAGAAATAATGGATGGATGTACGTTGATAAGAGCAGGAAGCGGCTGTTTGGAGAAGAAAAATACAGCAAAGAGGGACCTCTGTTAGTGATATTGCTCATGCCAAATGAGTCATCGTTTAGTGAATATTGCTAATGAAAATGAATCATCTTTTAGTGATATTGCTTATGAAAATGAATCATTTTTATACAGCAAGACATTCCTGACTTCATTTAAGATAATATGCATTCATGTATTCATAAGATGTATCCTTCAATATGTTCATTGGGAGGAAAGTGGGCAGGAATATACAAGAAAAAAAAAATTGTACATGAACTGTCTTTTTCATTCAACAACAGAGGAAGTGTGATGCATCAACTCAAATTGTAATGCAAAACTTTCTCAGATACTTGTATCTTTTTTTATTGAATGCTGAGGTTTATGGTCAATTAATGTTCGCATGTATTATTATTCTTTTATATGTATTTTGTGTATATTCTATGATTGTGCTTACGACTGATTTCCCACCCCGTATACGATTTGATAATTATTATTTTTGATTTCATGTTGATGTTCAGCTGCAGATGATGTGCCTAACTGGTAAACCGTCTATGAGGGCAAATTAAAATGTACAAATCACTCTTTATATCTTTATTTTTCTTCTGCTCTTTTTTAAAACGAATGCACATGTATACATACCTATCTTATATACTCTACTGGAACATTGTATTTCTATGGTCATATTCTTTTTATCAGTGTCTTTCGTATGATTTTTTGCTGTTTTTACATCGATATATGTAATGTTGTCATTGTGATGTCTATCCATCCGTACATGGCTCGGTTAATGTAAGGAGAAAGGATACAGAGGGGACAGTTGAATGTAAAATTAAGCAGATGTCTTAAAATTTGTCTGTATATTACGTGTGTTGGGAGTCAGAAGGGGTAACCTGCAGAGTATGAGTTAAAACCCTTCTGTCTCTCAGCAGTCTAGATGTTGTAGACCATAGTTATATAAATGGTTGATTTCTATTTCACTATGCCTACCGATATGTCATTTGTACAAAACTGTAAAAACCCATCGAGCCGAGTATAGGATATATGTCCACAATAGTTATGTAATCATTCATTTATACACCAACGATATATTCTGTGATACACAGGTGGAAGTATTCTTTAGAAGGGGGCAAACAAAAGGGTATTCATGAAGCACCTCCATCACTTTGGCAGCACTATGCCTACTGGCAGTGATGGTATCACGTAATGGATAGTTATGCTTTGGCACATTTAAAAAGTTTGTTCACCTTTGTTTGTTTGATCATATAGTGAAAGAAGGAAGTAGCACCACATGAAGGAAATATGTTTGAAAACTTTTGACCCCAACATTTTGAGGGCTGAAGTAGATGTGGATAAATGATGAATTGCCTGTTGAGAGAGAGAGCCAGAAGGGCGTTAACTCATTTTGAAATGATAGTCCCTTTTAGCTCTCAAGGTATGGTGTCAAGGACCCTGCTGTATTGCTATGTTCTGATTACCAAAGCTCTGTTCCACTTAGATATGTTATCAAAATGGGTGAGGATAACAGGATCATAAAAAGACTTTGAAATCAAACTCAGGAAATCTCATTAGCCTTGTATGTCGCCTTTTAGAATATGCGAACAATGACAGTGCATATCACATAATCAGAACACGCTATCTTTAGGAAATACAAGGAGGTATCAGAATTTCCCTGAATTTGATTTCTTGAGAGTTTTTTGTGATCATTATGAATGTTGATAAAACAACCCTATGATACAATAATGCCATGTACTTCTAGCATTTAAACTTCTGAAGCGTGAAGAGGATTGTTATGAAAATGAATTAGTTTTACCATTGAGGAAAATTGGAGGTTAATAATAATGAGAATTATGAGATAGAGTGATCTAGCTGCCTGTCACTTGACGGATAGATGATGTTGTACTTTCAAAACCTCATTTTTAACAACTTTTACAAAATCTGTTTATACATTTATCATTTAATTGTAGTTTATTGCACAGAAATGGGCATTTGCTGGTTTTGGGGGTTGATATTGTGAATATTTGTTTGTTTTTTTTTGCAATTGATTTTGACAGAAGCTGCAAGGAAAGGGATTCATTGAGCTCAAGGATTGGTTTTTTTCTTCCCAGGTTGTAAAACAGACTTTGGTTACACATATTGGTTGATTATGCCATTAATACTGTTTGAAGAGACCATATCAATGCTTTGTGTATATATAAATATATATATGAATGTATGTTCGATTGTCAGCCCGACTTTGTATAAAGGATGATTTATGTTTAATATGTTACTTACTCTTCCTTTTTTACATTGGAATATTTTTTTGAGAAGTAAATGTAAACAGCATATACATGGTGCTATAATTGATTTGGAAATGCTTGCAGTAATGATAAAACAGATCATTGATAGCACGTAATGGTATTTTACGTGAAATGACATGAAATAACCCATGTATGAATTTTTGTAATTATTTTTAAATTTTTGCTGGAATGGTCACGAAGAACTTCGTGAATTGTGGACTTTTGTGATTTGTTTTGATTTAACTGAAAATGATATATGTAGTGTTGATGCAATAGGGATAGTCTACTTGTGTACTCAAAGTGAAAGTCAACTCTATATGTGTGATGGAAGACAATCCAACTCGCTTGAATAGAAATTTTGCCTGAGGTTCATGTCATAGCAACAGAGCATCTTAGCTGAACAAAAGATAGCAAGGAAAAGGGGAATTGACATTTACTTTCCCGTTTTCTACCCCCCCCCCTCCCAATAAATGGATCCCAGTTTTACTTGCACTTCTTGAGAGGCCTCACTATGAATACACAAGTAAGCTATTACCGTTTTCAGATAATATAAGTCAGTACGAGGTATGAAATTTGGTATATATAACCTGTGAATGTGTATTGTTATGATCTGAGTGTCTTTATAAAGACTCGGTGATGTTTTACATGTTGTTTTTAGAATGGGTATATATACTTTTCATTAAACATTATTGCTTGTATACAAACAAATCCAGCTTTATTTTGTCATTTTTTAATCAAATGTTTATCATTTTTTAAAGTTATTTAGTTATTTCTTTGTTTGATTATATTTCATGAAACGGTCATTGATCTTATCAGTCTGGCATTCAAGCAATCAGTCGGCCATTAAGTTATCCTAAACCCTCATTATGTTGATATTAATCAATTCATATATTAATTCAGCCATTTAAATCACTTCATCAACTGGTAAGAATTAATCTTTTATCTGTCATCTGATCTTGTAATCAAGTCATTCAACTCAACCTGTTATCAAAATCATTAAGGACCATTTCATCATTCATTCATTTGAATCTCCTATTTTCTAATCGTTTCAGCAATCAGACATTTCAATCTACCATTACGCTTAGTTTTTCAATCATTTATCAATCGTTTATATCAATCTGTCATTAAATTGTTAAAGCTATCTTTCATCAATCAGTCACATTTAATCATTTTTCCTTCACTCTTTTCAGTTGCCTTATTCATTTATCAATCAGTCAATTAGTCAATTCAATCTGTCATTAAATCAAGTTGTCATTAAACACTCTAAACCACGCATCTCACCAACTCGCTCACTCTATTAAACTATTTTCGATGTACCCAATCGGTCATTCCAGTCTTCCAATAAAACTCTTTTTATCAATCAATCATTTCAGTCAGTCATCAAACTCTTCTTCTTCCATCAGGATCTCAATTTCTAATTAAACCATTATAATCATATGATTAATCAGAAATAATCCACAATCGCAAAGACTTTCGATAAAAAAACTCCCCTAATAAGAATTTCAACCCAACAACATTATATTTCCCATAGAAATCATGTTTGGATTACGTAATATGTCCCTATGTTGCTCACACATTTCTAAGTGTAATGGACAAGACGTGTTAAAAGTTGCCTAAGATCGATGCTTTAAACAGTATTTGCGACTGCGTTTTATATCTTGAAAAAACAATAAAATAAAATAATTTCTTCCATGAAATAGTCAACGCAATCACACCTCGAAATCAGCTCTTGCCTCCATCCACTTCAACAGACCAGTTTACGAATGTATCCAAATTTTTGAGATATACAGACCTGCCAACCAGTACGATTTAGTCGTTTGTGACATTTTCAATGGCAAAATTCCCATTATGTTTTGTTAAGTATCCTTCAAGCATCTCACATCAGCAATTTGGGTATGTTCATCGGTTCATCGGTTCATCGAACACACCAGTCATGACAAAATCGTGCATATTCAACCAATGATCCATAAAAAATTCTTCCTGTAGGTAGGAACTGTAAGAGGCATTGATCCGCGTAACAATCCGTGTTTTTTTTTCAAGAATACAACTTTTGTCAGTAAAATACAACTTTTGGGATTAAAGAATACAGTTTTTGAACTCCAGAGGTTGGCAGGTCTGGATATATGAAAAAATTTGAATGACATAAGAAAACCGGTCTTTCCACTCCTATCACACTTTTAGGGATAAACGAGGTAGCATTTCAATCAATACATTACCAGAAGAAATAAGTCAGCACAATCACTATATTTATTTATTTTATTGTTAATAACACGTAAAAAAAATGTTTCCTAGTAAAAAAAAAAAAAAGTTTTAATATAAAAAATCCGCCTTTCCAATCGTTTTGGTTAAAAAAAAAGGAAAAAATTGTCAACCTACATATTCTAGTCAACCTTCTGTCCATTATCACATCGTTTTTGTTTTTCTTCTTTTCTTTTATTTCTCTGAGCTCTGCGATAATATTGTTCATAAAAATATATAACTTTGTTCTTTTCTAGCTTAACGGTACGATATAAAGACACTATTACGAGCTCTACAACACCTTATATAAACAGCAAAATATATATTCTCCGAGATGATAGTTATATACATGTCGCCTGTAAGTACCACTGGGTATTAACATGAAACGGATGTTTCATCCAAAATACATTTATCAAAGTCAACTAAGAAACAAGTACAACAACCCACAACATGCATAGATGAGAGACGAGTATACAAGAAAGACAAAATGGCGTCACACGGTCATTCGTTTGCTTATCTACCTGTTCTTGCAGTAATATTGGATGATCACAATACAGTAACAAGTTCCGATAGTTCAACGGACTACACTTTTCAGCAAATTAGACAATTTTTGTATAGCTAGCTAAAACTATGCTTATTGCTGAAAAAAAATCATTATAAAAGTACCTTTTTTTTTAATGTGATCCAACTAATATCATTCTTAAATGGATGAGTTTGATGACATGTTTTAATTTGTATCAAAAATGGAGAAATGCTTCTCTTATATGCGCCGTTTTCTGTTGCTATTACCACTACATGTTGGCTATAGTACTGGTTGTATGTAAGTCTTATCGACACCTGATTAATGAAAAATTTCTCTAATTGCTGTACCGTCTTTGTATAACAAAAAATATGAGTCTTACTTATTTTTCTGTTTTGAAAAATGCTTAAAATTGATTGCGCTATTCATCTACTCGTTCAAAGTCGAAGACAATGGGAGATTTAAATATATACAAACAATACACGAACTCAAATTATACAACACATAGTTAGACATCTAGTTTTCTGGTAATGACGTCATAAACGAAGACAGAGATGGAAGGGGAGGGAGCATTAAATATACTATTTCAAAGAAGGGATTGCGATGATCTATGGATTGGGTGAAGTGTTTTCATAGAGTTCACTTCCAAGCGAGATAGCAGCATCACTGAGTGGACGATCATCCTTGCCATTCTCATATACGTTCTCTTGTTGGTTGTGACCGTTTTGACTCGTCTCCCCCATCTCCATCCCCATCCCCTCGCCCTCATCCATGCCTTCGTTTACATGTCCGTTGTCGGACTTTTTGGTGAATCGCCCAGCACTTCCAGCGGAATCCCCTCTTGGGTGTTTCTTTTTTGTTGTTCGCTTGCTCTTTGACTTGTAGGAGTAGACGATCTAATAAGCAAAGAAAATAGCAAACCAAACTTCCATTACTTTCCATAATAGTTACTCCAATCGTTATCTGAAATACAATTCTTTGCAGTCTCTGCTATTCCAACATGAAAGTAAATCAGTCAAAATGTGTTTCCTATTTTTCCAAATTTGAAAGATTTATCTAGGTATCAACCATAAGCTTATCTTTGTGTTCACCATTCGTATCTATAATTTTCTTTTTACTCATTGCCTTGAATAAAATATTGCTCCACTGAAAATGTCACAAATATAAATTCCTCCATACACGGTTAAGAGAAATTAAACGTGAATACCGCTTCTAAATAACTTCTCCCTAAAAAGCATATACGTTCTGTAAGGGTATTATAGAGCTGAGACTATTTCATGATAGTTGACAGTATATACAATGCGTAAAAAGCGTTTCAAACTAGAATCGATCTATGATGCAACAATTATCATTTTCGTACATTTGCTTTCGGTAAATTAAATACGTATCATGCAAGTCAGATGGCAAATGAACATGCGAAGAAAAAAAGGAAGAAAAACAAAAATAAAATTGAAACGGCAGATGTAAAAATAGGACTGGTAACACATTCCCAAATGAATTTAGCGGAATATTTCAAAATGTTGACCGATCAAAATGTATAGATGCTGTCCAACAATAGTTTTTTATGCAGAAATAACAGATCACTACACATAGATCATAACTCGTATTCATGCTTGAAAAGGGACAAATAAGTTTGAATAACTTTAAGCTGACTTTCGAGGTATGTTTTCTAATGTATGATTTAAGCAGAACCATGTATCATTACGATGGCCGTTGTAACTATACATGCTTGTATTTATAGCATCAAATCACTTGATTATTTTCATGTGGCACAAACAAAGCTGCTTTGTTTAAAGCTTATCCACAGGAGGAGGTTGACGCTCCCTCCCTACAATTATATCCCAAGAATACCCCTTTTCTTTCCTTTGGATTGTAAGTTAAAAGAAGGATGCCCCCACCACCTCACCCCCACCACCTCAACCCCACCACCTCACCCCCGCATCCGAGATGCTCCAACACTACACCTACCATTTTACCCCTTTGGTAGCTTGCTTGTGATATGGAGTATAATATGATACCAGAAAGGTTTTTTAGATTGTTTTATGAATAAAGACAGAAAGGTCCTGAAAAGCAGGCAAAACTTTTTATAATAATAAGAAAAGAAAACAGACTTTGAATAGTATGCATGTAAAAAAGCGTACTAGTTTGGATTGAAGAAGAGACTTTAACTTATATATTTCACGATTTAAAAAAAAATAAAGAAATGCAAGTGTTTTGGGCTGTAATTAGCACAGTGTAAGGCAGATCAGAACAAACGGAAGGGAAAAAAAGGTGCATGAATTTTAATGCTAATTTAAAAAAAGGGCTAATTACATTAAAAATTTGCATGCAATCGTTATGTTACAGCTTGTGTTCTCTCAATAACTAACACAAGCTTAGAAATGAACAAAAAATGTAATAATGACATGTACTGAAGTAAGCTATACGAACAAAATAATAATTCAAAACATTATGAAGACATGCTATTACTGCTGTTGCTGTTTCCTGCTACTGCTTCTATTACGGATGTCACTGTTTCCCTTGCTTAGCTCTTGCAGCTAATACTAATAGTAAAGTGTCAGAGTAGCATTTTTTTTTTTTTGTTAAAGCAAGATAACTGATTTACAATGAGTTTCCAGAACTCGTAAACATATCGTTGATAATGCAGTCGCAAATGCTAATGCAAACTATCCTTTGAAAAATATTTACAATATGTCATACTAATCACCTAGCCGCTTCGAGAAAAGTTTGGAAAAACAAAGTTCATGGTAGTAAAATAATTGACGAACGATATTGTAGTGAAACATAAGACTCTTTAAAAAGAGAGAAAAAATAAAAACTACATTTTGAAGAAAAAGCACTACTTTGTGTTTTTACTGAAAGTGCTGCACGTCCTATTTTTGCGGAAATATACAGGATGCACATTTGTGAAAAAAAATAGCAAAGAACTAAATTCCTCGAGCTTTAAATGATTTGACTTTTCATAAAACAAAAATGAAACATGCATACCTCGTACTTCATTGATAAATTGTTGACAGTAAATTCATAAAGAAATGAAACAAAACAAAAATAAGTGCGTGAGAAATAATAATATTTATGAGTAAATCTTGCAAGTGAAGGTGACAACTGTCTTTATAACATACACTGGGGTTGTGATTTAATGTCAGGCGTGTTACGTATAACATCAAGGCTTACAGTGCCACGCACATTTTGCGTGGCACCACTGTAAATTGTACACTCGAATGGGAGTGTCACGCATGTTATGCGTAACGGATGTGTATAAACGGAAATGAAACGTGATAGTAACGCAAGTTACATGTGATAATTGTGAGGATATGACATCTGAATGTGATTGGGTGTCACACAACGTGTCTGAACATGACAAATGTTGGACATGCTTCTGGAATGCAAGTGTCACACACTTATGCGTGACAACTGTGTACATTATGTATGTGTAACGAAATGTGAAATGAGCGTCGTGCGTGTTTCGGGTGTGTGCATAACATTGGAGTGTAAGTGCGTACGATGGACATGCCAATGACATGCAGATCAGACATGCTGAAATTGAAATGAAAATAAAGCGTGGATCGATGAAACGTGATGTAATAGAGAACCCAACATACTCCTCAGCTTCGTCGCCTTCGTCGATGTCAGCTGGCCCGTTTCCTCGCTGTGTAGGACGTGGTCGACGCCTTGACTTAGCAAAGCGTGATTGATGTCGAGAACGGTACTCGAACTTCCCCTTAATAGGTTCGGGCGGAGGGGATTGACAAATCTGCTTACAATACCCGCGGGTTAAAGGGGGTTCGGAGGAGAAAAGAGTGCAAGAAATGAGGGAGAGATCAACTACAAAAGATACAGAGAGCAAGGGTTATATCATGAAACTAATTAAGAGAATTCTAATGATACATTAGAAGATAGGAGGGAAGGATAATTAGTCACCCATAATAATTGAGGAACGAAAAAAAGGGTAAGAAAACTGGAATAAGAAATGAAAAACTTGTTGTAAGAAAAGAAAAGTGAGTGGTGGAAAGTGTTCCGGAAAGGGTAGATTAGAAATCGTCACATTATCCTATACGTTATCGCGTTATTTCAAAAGCGATATACCAGGACTGCATAAATTATACGACAATTTAAATGGAGTACCTTTACTTGATCATATCTTGTATAATCTTGTATAATAATACACTGATAAGTTAGTATTCTTAACAGGTGATGGTTATTGTACAATACAATGATACGATACCTCTACCAACCATAGAAAAATATTAATAATTAAAAAGGGACTAAAAAGGAAAAACAACTCTCAAGAGCCAGGTTAATCTTGATGTCACGGTGCATTAAAAACGTTTAAAGTGCTCACGAGGACAAATGAGTCCGCAACAGCATGAAAGTAATTTAGTCAACGACATGACGCAGTTACTTCCTCTTTCATTTCGGCCATTCATAATTTTATAAATGATCTCTAGGTGTCATTATACTGAAGTTGAAGTGACACGACGATGGATCATTTCGTGTGGACCATTCCCCTCCCTCCGTCAATACTTCCTCTTAGATAACCTTCGATCAAAATCAAATTTGGTGGTTATAGAATCTGGTCTGAGTTTGTCATCTCCCCATGGTAAATAAATATTATCATTTGAGTATACAAGACACCGAATAGATGGTTGTTGAGAGGGTGTCCATAGGGGCGTGGCTGTATTAAAATTAATCGAAAAGACTGCACTCTAGTGTGATCATTAAAACTGTTCTCAAATTGGCAGCAGGCAGTATTATGTTCAAAACTGTCTGGTATTTTCATACGCCAAGGTACAAGAAGAAAAAAAAAAAAATCATCACTTTTAACAACCAAGATATTTTGATCAATGACAAAACTGCATCTAATATTTTACACAATGAGTTTTCATTGATGACAGTGTCTGGTCGAACCTGCTATTAAGATCACCTACGGAAAACAAAACTGTGGTCCCCGTTATAAGATGGACTTTCTAGACAGGTTCTACAACACATGCATTTATTCAAAGACCATTCCATAGCTGAACACTATATACAGATTATGGTCGTTATGGAGAGGTAGCTAATAAGACAGGATTGTCTGCATTCTCTCCCCACTGAAAAGGTGTGTCAAGGAAGCTCGTGCACCCAATCAACACCCCCCCCCCCCCCCCCAAAAAAAAACAAACAAAAAAAAAAACAAAAAAACTAACAAACTAAGACTACTAATGAGATCATACTCACATCTTGGCCGTTGCTGTCTCCGTTCGCCTTGCCCTCTTCGAAGTTGGATCCATCCATTCCGCTACCGTGCTCGATCAGGTAGGTGTCTTCGAAGTCCTGAAGGGGATCGACGTTGAAGAAGGATGCGATCTCGAGTGGGTAGATGTAATCCATGGCGAGGACGATGAAGCCGCAGATGACAGATATAAGACCTGGATGATGATGATGATACAAGATAGTTTGGTCTTATTTACCTTGGGTGGACCTTCTCCGTGCAATCATTCATGTTTTTATTTCCGTATAATAAAATCAGATATAAAATATATACAAAGTAATCATGCAGAGAAAAGGGGCAAAATACGGCTGGCAGCCCATTTTCAGCCGCAACTATTGTTGCTGCTGGTTTATAGAATGGGGCCAGTTTATAGAATGTGTGGAGACTGGGGTGGTTATAGGTGGGGTTAAGGGTGTGGTGGGGTAAAGGGTGTGGTAAGGGTAAGCGGGACTCACCAGCAACCATGCAGAGCCAGAAGCTAGGTCCCTTGTGGAATTCAAGTACGTGGTGAGCCGCAAAGGGTATCTTGAGCTCGGACCCATATCTAATGGTCGCATAGAGAACGTTAGCAGTCAACAGACTACCGCCGGTCATGATGAGGAAGTAGGCGCCATTTCTAATCACCATGAAGAAGAGGATGTTGGCTAAGATCCACAACGGGAAGGATAACCTGTCATCAAAGCAAAGGGGGAGGGATGTTATTGTACTTCTGACATTACAATCAGCAAATAAGGTGTCAATCAACAAAATAGGGACTTATAGATTTTCACGACGACATCGTGGACTGCTACGTGTGACGTCCTTTTAAGGCACTGTCCCTTTTAAAAAGGACGTCACACGTGAGCAGTCCACTATGTCGACGTGCAAATCTAATAGTCCCTATTTTCTGGGTCCGTTAAAATGATATGATCGGAAAGAGTTTAATCATTTACTAGACATATAGCTTCTCTAATATTTTATTTCCTTTATCCGTACACCATTCATAATTAAATTTAATTAAATTCATGTGAAAGTTCAGTTTCTACTTATCTCTATCATTATTCACTGTTGTTGTTTGCCCTCAACTTTGTATAATTGAATAGGAAAGGATTTTAAACGCTCTGCTTTACTTCATAAAATAGCTTGACCCTGCAAGAGCCGGATCAACTCTACCATTCCTTTACAATCATAACTTTACTTCCCAAGGGAAGCCATATCAGCACCAAAGCTGCTCTCCCTATAAGATTATGCAATTTTTATAATGCCAGCAATTACCAGGTACCCATTTACACCTGGGTGGAGGGTGGCAAATGTTATGTCTTTCCAAAAGGCGTTAGTGTCGGGCTGGGATTCGAACCCTTAGGTTGAGAACCAAGTGAATAAACCACTATACCACGACACGTCCACATACCATGACACATCTATGTGCTGATAAAGACAGTCAATGAGCTTACCAAACCATGATGTAGGCATAGTAGCCAGCCATTCGGTAAGATCGTCCCCATCTGATGTCTTCACCATCCAAAGTGAAGTACTCAGCAATCCAGAGAACAGGGTATGGTTTGCCTGACCACTGGGCCTCTCGGAACTCACGGTTGATACGTCCAGCTGCCAACAAAAATACATCCAATTATTCAGTTTCTTTTATTCGAAAACTGTCACATCAAATCTACACATATCTTATAAGGATAGGGATAGAGAATATACAGAAATAACCAGGTAGATTTTCAAATTTTCTTTTGTATGATAAGTAAAATAGATTGACATTTCAGATCTACCTTATGCAGGCATTGATCAATCAACATACATGACCAATGTATCTTTCACAATCTATTACTTCATATTCATAAGATAATGATGGATTCTACTTTATAGCCCTACAAGCCTTTAATATCCATCACGCAAACACGCTCAAGGCACTCCAATAAATGCTCCTGGGCCCTGTTTCATAATACTTTTTATCAATAACAATGGTTCAATTTCTATGATAAATTTGCCCTCAACCAATCAAATGCCACAACTTCAGTAGCTTATAACAGTTATTGTAACTTGTTATTGATAACATGTTTTGTGAAACAGGACCCAGTACAGTGCCTTCAGCATTCATGGAAATTCTTTATATCCATTAATCGCATCTGCGCCCTGTTTCATAAAACTTGTTATCAATTAACAGCTGCCACAGATCTATGATGAATCTGCTCACAGCCAATCAAATGCGAGGATTTCAGTAGCTTATAACAATTATTGTTACTAATTATTGATAACAAGTTTTATGAAACGGGGCCCTGGTGCGACAAGTAAAACAGTTTTCTCCCAGGACATGGACACTGGAGAATGATCAAACACCTTTCAATTGAAAGTCAATATTCATCTACAGGTACATTGGTACTGCATGGGCTATACATGTATTTTCAATTCTGACAACAGACCCCCAAAAATCAGTCACTTACAGAATCGTCCAAATCCGCCACGTCCCTGGCCGCCGTAGAAATGGAAGCGTTCGTTGTAGTCGATGACTTCATCGGGATGTTCGACAAGACTATTTGCAGGAGCTAGGGACAAAAAACAAGATATCAAGTTAATCAATCATTATAATGACCGACGTTTATCTGAAATCAAGAGAACTACCATTTAACATGATCAGAACAATGAAATACATGCACCTGGCATTTTATCAAAAATAATGAGGAACATTATCATCAGTTGTATAAATAGATAATGGACTGTTTTATCTATGAAGACATCAGCTGACTACTTTTGTCATCTTTTCCTTTTTTGACACATGACCTAGTTTTCTCATTTTGTACACAGTGAAACCATACCCTGTATAATTATCTAGCAGAAAAATATAAATATTTCTTAAGATCTAAGTAATTTGAATGAATTATAAATGAATATTTGTTAAAATTCATTTAATTCATTGAAAATCGAGGACGGACTAATTGGTAGTATTCATTATTCGAAAAGTTACATCGCAACATAATTGGATACTGCAGAGGTAGAGGATAATATGAATGTATTTAAATGATTGAATACAATCATTCAAAGTCTTAAGTGTTTATGTGTGTATTTAAATTGATTGAATGCAATCATTCAAAATCTTAAGTGTTTATGTGTGTATTCAAATTGATTGAATGCAATCATTCAAAATATAAGTGTTTATGTGTGTATCTAACCTGACTGAATGCAATCATTCGAAATATAAGTGTTTATGTGTGTATCTAACCTGATTGAATGCAATCATTCAAAATCTAAGTGTTTATGTATGTATTTAAATTGATTGAAGGCAATTGATTGAATGCAATCATTCAAAGTCTTAAGTGTTAATGTGTGTATTCAAATTGATTGAATGCAACTGATTGAATGCAATCAATAAAAATCTAAGTGTTAATGTGTGTATTTAAATTGATTGAATGCAATCATCCTACCTTTGAGCGTGATGTTGACGCTGTTGAGTCCGATCTTCACTTCGATGTCAGCGTCATGTATTTCCTCATAAGAGAAAGCTTTGTAGTAGGTCTCGATGCCATGTAGTTCAGCCTTCTCCCATTCTTGTCCCCACAGAGACACTGCATTCAAGAAATCATGTCAATGATGTCAACATTAGCATTCATTCATTTATGCATTCATTCCTACAGTTAAAGCCCCTCTAAAGTGTTGGGAACCCAAACATTTGATGGCAAAATTTCACTTAAATTGTATCATAGTGTGAAAAAGGATGTCATTCAAAACACATTTCTGCAGGAATTTTCAAACCAATATGTTTGAAGTCGAATATTGATGAAAGAATACAAAATGTAGGTTTTCTGCGTTCAACAAAAAACCCAAGTTCTGAATTCTTTTATCAATAAGTGAAATTTTGCAATCAAATTTTTGCCACATTGGGGCTCCCAACACTTAGGGGCTTTAATCATTAGGTTATGTATGTCACCTTTCATCTACAATGTTATCCTCTCTGCTCTGCGTTACTCTTGTATTCCTTCCCTACATCACTTCTTCTCTTTATTTCCTATCATTCCTTGTTTGTCCTTTCTTCATTTGTTCAATATAAATCGATCTAGACTAAAGTTATACTTCTAGATGTAACGTAATACATCCTGTAGCGGCATATCATCATCTTTATCAATTGAGTTGTTCTTTTATTCTCATCTTTTCGTAAGTCTTCTCACCCTCTCTACTCTCTCTCTCTCTCTCTCCCTCCCTCCCCCCTCTCTCTCTCTCTCTCTCTCTCTGTCTCTCATTCTCACTCTCTATCTTCACAGTTTGAACAAATCACAAACAGCCATGACTATTGCATGATCTAAACAGAATGAAGACAGTATTCAGACAAGTCACCACTATACACTTACGCATGATTCCGGCACCAATGAACAGACTGATCGTGATTCGCACAAAACTGTAACATCTCTGAAATAAAACATCAAGAAAATTAACGTAAGTTTAACAAAACATGTCGTTATCCCTCCATTAAAATAGTGTAATATCGTCTCCAAGATAACAGGCAAATTCCTCCTCAACTTTATCCAAGATTGGAGAACTAAATCTCAAAAGAAAATAAAATGAAGGAAGAAGGACTCAAAATTTATCTATACAATTTTAAAGTATTCTTTTTCATTTGGTGTCCCATAAATTTGCTAGTTGTTGTGGAGTTGTGAATGTAAACTGACATCAAATTTGTTAATTTACTTCACATTTGAACTGATTCAAGCACAAGTAGGGCTCTAAACTTAATACGATGATCAGATATATTAAAATCATAGATGTAATCGGGAACATATTTGACAAAGTAAATTTTACTTGCAATTCTAGTGTTCACATCATAGCTATATCTATAAAGCATGTACACATATTATATGTGAGACAGCATACGTTTCTTATGTTTGAGTTGCTGTGATTGCGGTGTGTTTGGTTTATTTGATTTTCTGTTATTATACATGTAGCTAGACTAGATTTGACTGTGATATACATGGAAAACGTATCATGTTGCATACTTTGAATTGCACTGCCTTTACAGAATTACACGTTGTGCTTTCGTGTGTTTATATTGTGTATATACATATACTTGCAGCAAGAAAATATTGATAACTCTCAATTACAATATTGACTTAGATAATACTTGAAAAGTGTTGTAACTGAAAGTAATCTGATTTCGACTTTCATATTATCATTAATTTATTGATATATATAAAGGGCTGCTGTAAATGGACCACTTTCAGTATCTTTTCCTTCACATGTATTTATCAGAAAAGTCAATTAATTTCAATTCAATTCTATTTCATTCAGTTAAAAAAAACATTACCTATAACAATCGGATATATTACATAAAGTACACATTAAGACATGTCTGACAAGCACATACAAATAAACTGAATAGGCTGCAATCTGAAACGAAACAATCTTTATATAACGGTTGACCCATTTTTTAAATAATAAATAGTATGAATTATATTCGTTGCTGAACATTATACAAAGACACAAATCAAAACAACAAATGCACATACAAACAGAGAAACAACATTTGTCTTAAATTCGAGTGATTATTGCAATTTACCCCAAAACTAATCCGTATACCTATACGTTTAAATACATTTACGCTAGCAGAATCATATATGTAATGACGGAGAGTGTATGACAGAAACGGTCCCTGAAAATAATTCGTTTTTGGTTGAGTACTGTATGAGTCGAACGGCAAATGAACATTTTGAGCGTTCTAGTACTATATTATAAACTACATGTATGGTACAGTTTAATTTAAACAATTTGGAAATCGAATCAGGAAGAAGTTTGCGATGAAATGACTACATGAAAACACCTACTTGTAATAAATATACGTCCCGATATTGCAACATGTTTAATAAGTAAAATATTGGATTGGTATGGGCAAGAAAAGAAGAATGATTAATAGTTCTTATTGCACGTTCTAAAAATTTAAACAATCTATCTGTATGCATGTGGTGAGAGAAAGTGCCTTAAATAGAACACCGTTTATAACTCTCATATGTCATTAATAATTCTTATATGTGAATAGTAAGTTGTCATAACATTGTCATGATCAGTTATGTGGTTGCATGTGGCGAAAGAATCGCGATGTAACGTAATGCGATGCCGATTCCTCTTTAGTAGAATAGAGTGGAGGGTTCGATTTGCGTGTTAAACAAAGGTCTTCATAAAATGGAGCTAAAGCAATTACAAATCTCTTTGATCATGAACTAATTTCATATTTGGGATAAGTTTAAATAATGATACATTGACCCTTGCCTAGGTCAAGTGGTACTTAGAGGGTGCCAAGAGACAGGACTCGTGAAGGTTAAAGGTTAAAGAGCCATTCTACAGGTATAGGCTTTTATGAATATATAGCTTATTAGTGAAATTGAAAGCGATCAGATAGAGGTCGAAGTTTCGATTGTTGGTGTTCAGAAGAAAATCGTAGTACTGTACATTTAGAGTTATACGGGTTTAATTTAAGATCACCATAAAGCCTTTCTTTTAAGCAGATACTCTGCGTCGTTGATTTCTGTGTTTACAACAAAACAAAAACAAACTAACCAAAAAAGACACACACATGTTTTACTTTGGAATCATGAATCAGAAGAATCCCGGTTAAGTCAATATTAATTGGATGTCTGTTCAATGCTTGCACATTGCGATATGATTTTGTTCACACGGAAATGCATGTCTTTATTGTGAATACGGTATATGTTTCCTATTCTCGTCATATATTCCTACTTCCTCAAGAGGTATACTTTGATTTATTTTCAATATCACTTTCCTACTCATCAAGCTCCTTCTTTTACTCACACTACCCACCCCTTCCGTTTTTTTTCTTCTTCGCTACACATCATTGCAAAATATAAGAAATATTATACATCATTCTGCCATTGGTCTTGTTGATATATTAACGATGTTCGTATTATGGCAACATTATGATATATATATATATATATATACCCTAAAATATGTAACTTTTGATCATTTTGAGTGCAAGAATCCTCAGGATTGAATGAGGCAGAGTCAATATGAACTTAGAAGGAAGAAGAAGAAGATCGTTCATCAATAGTAAGCCCAACACAAACAGTAATACGATGGCCTCTCGTTCGACAGACATCTATATTTACATTTATTGATCACTTTGTACAAAATATAAAGATTATGTGACAGAATATCTTTTAAAATGGTAGACTTATATCTATCTATCTAGTTTTTGTTATTCCAAGATTTTATTTATAATATGACATAATGTCATGGCAAGCTCTTTGAGTTCATTATCAATTTCTATATGTGAAATTCTTACCTGCATTCCCCGAATACCGGGCAAGATGACGATGAACGAAAAGAAAGCGATCACGAAGGCGAAGATGAATCCTATCTCGAGTACGTCGGCGGTCACCGCAGTTTTATTTGGGGGGTAATAGGTGGGCAACCCCTGCTCCCTAAACGCGGTATATGTGTTACCCATCTTGGTATATTTCTCCTTCTCCTTCCTCTCTTTTGCGTAAGCTCAATCTTTACTTACAGAAGATTCATAAAACCTGAACGAAGAGGGTATAACTTGGACTCTACGACAAGGCCCAAATAGCAACCGAGTTAGAGCTTGAAATGGCGTAGAAAAGTTCTTTCGCATAGACAAGCACGGGTAAAGAGATCTTCAATAACAACGTAATGGTGCCAGAAAAAAAAGTGTATACCGATGACAGGGAGGGACAGAAGAACTATTTAGCATCTTATTTGCATATGATTAGCAGGTCACTGTTGAACGAGTAAACACTTTACCTATGCGTTAGTAGAGTGAGTAATAGTTTGTCCCTGGTACGCTGGGTCGCTGCCTATTGACAGAATCCAGTAGGCTTTTCAGAGAAGCTATCGAGCGTGCAAACGAACAATTGTGAATAGGAATGAAAAGAAGGCAACAAAAAGGAGTATCTCATTTGAGCGTGACGCCAAAAATGGAGAAGATAGGTACCACCGTGTAACATTGTTATAATGACGATTGTAGATCATCAAATTACGTCACCATTAAACTAACTGCATAAATTATGCAAATGAAGGGAGTGAGCGGAAGCTGAAGGCGAGGCCTAGCCCACGAAGTCTTTTGCGTCGGAACTACTTTCAGGGTGGCTATTACGAAACCATTCCTACGAGGTACCCTAAAAAAAGAAGGAAAAATAAGCACAATCATATCCGCATTGAATGCTACCTCATGCTGTTATTCAGCCTTTGATTTTCCTTGAATATCTAGATAACTTTTAAACCCGCTTATGACCTGGCAAAAATGAAGGAAATGAACTTGTTGGTGTTGGTCAACACGATGACCAAATCCTAACATACAAATTACACCAGATTTAGAAAATAGATATCATGTCTTCACTCTCTTTTTTTCTTTTCCACTGATCATTACAACCTCTATTGGAGACAAATGAACTGGCTGCCTCTTTTCATTTGTTATTATTATTATCATCATCATCATCATATTCATAATGATGATAATGATAAAAATAACAGTAATTATAATTACAAGAAGGAGGAGAAGAAGAAGAAGAAGAAGAAGAAGAAGAAGAAGAAGAAGGGGAAGAAGAAAAGAAAAATGTTACGACGAGCCGGGAAATAAGATAAATAGGGAGGGAGAAAAGGAGACTAAGAGTTCTGATAGGCCATCTTCGTAATGTAATCAAATTTAATGCACTAATCTGTGTTAAGTTTCTCGTTACAAATAATTTCATTCACCTGTTGTTACGAAAAATTGTATTTCAATAGTCAGAATGCGAATAGGCCATTTTCGTAATGTAACCAAATTTAATGCATAGGTCTTTGTGAAGTGCCTCAATATAAACTATTTCATTAACCTGATAAGAATAATAGTATTTCAATAGACAGAATCCTAACTGCATACATTAGTTGTTGCCAGGTTGGACAAACATTATGGCTTGACCTACCTAGCAACACTTAATATATGCAGTTGCACTCTGACTATTGAAATACTATTATTTCTATCAGGTGAATGAAATAATTTGTATTGAGGCACTTCACAAAGACCTATGCATTAAATTTGGTTACATTACGAAAATGGCCTATTGCATACATTACGTGTTGACAGGAAATACAAGAAATAGTGTTTGTCCTACCTAGCAACAATAACGTGTGCCAATGGTTTATTCGGTGAATACGTTTGTATTTGAATTCAGATAATACGAAGCAGGGTTTCAAAGACAGGTCCGGATTAATAGTCCTATATAATTATTAAAAAAAATATATAAATTATCTGAGATTCTCTTAATAATTCTTATCATCTACCCATTATAGCGGGGACATACGTAGATCAAGTGTCAAATTTATATTATCATGCCATTATGATCCGTTACGTAAGATACATACTCTATAGTTTGGTACAAATAATGTTACTTAATTACGCTCTGAAGTATTTAGCATACAAGTCATGATGAAATGACGAATATCAACATCTTTAACAAGATATCCTTTTTAAAAAGTGATATACGAATTTTGTATAAAATTGGTTTGAACAAAGTTTCCTAACATATGCCTTATTGCTAAGTAACATCATGAATCTGGTTTTAACGACTCATGAAATGCAAACAACCCTTAACTTTTACTTATAAATACAATGCATAATAATTATTGTGTGCTCGTTTATCATTTTCTAATAGTTTAAACTTGATTGGTGATTAAAAAAATTCGTATCTGTAGGAATAGAGATAATGTAAATTACTCTCTCTCTCTCTTTCTTTCTCTCTGCCTCTGCCCTTGTACTGAAAGTACGCCTACGAATGCTGGTATCCGAGCCCTTTGGCACGTAAGTATTATCAACCGGTCGCTACATCCGTGAAAATGGTTTCGATGTTTATCAAGCGCTGTTATGATAGTGCAACACATCCACTTTTAACTTTATATCACATCATTTATCTTCATTAAGGATATCATAAATGTAATCAGATATACCATGTGATTGAGTTAAACATTACTTCAGAAACCGCTCCAGTCATTAATTTGACAGGTATATAAATATAAAAAAGGTATTCTTCTCTAAAAAGAAATTAATACAGAAAATATTGACGAAAGTGTAAAATTATCTCTCTCCAGTACGTTGTGTAAGCAGGGGCGGCGCCAGGTTATTTTGTCGGGGGGGGGGGGGGTGCATGGGCGCACCAGCTCAGGGTTTTTAGGCATTTTATTGCGGTCAGATGAGCATATTTTGATACCTTATTTGTGACACTGGCAGGTCCGAATTGGCAAGAAGCTCAGGGGTTTAAGACATTAATTACGATCAGATGAGCATATTTTGATACCCGTCATCTATGACACTGGCAGGTCACTATTCTTTCTTTCTTTCTATATCTCTTTAACATACTTTTTTCAAAAAAGTGGGGGGGGGGGGACTCGAGCCCCCGACGCCCCGCCGTTTCGCGGACTCTGACACTTAGGCTTCTAAATAACTCTATTTGTGGCCTGACTGTAAATTTTTGGAATTTTTCATTTTCCAACAAACGCATAAAATAGTATAATTTACAAAAAAGTGAGAAAAAATCCCGGAAAATCATGTCATTTCAGCCACATTTGTAAATCACTGTTATCGAATTAGAAATAAACCTTATTTGAATTTTATTGGGGGAGGGGGGCAACTGCCCCCAAAGCCCCCCCCCCCCCCCCCCCCATTAGTACGCCAGTGTATATTCTGGTTATAGTTATACTCCTAAGTGATAAATCAAATATCAGACCATCTGAAAAGCTTTTGTGATACTAAAAGTTTTCATACAAGCTTTTCTAAAATGAACACGTTGCCGTTTACACAGATGATATTCACAACAGTGTTAAGCATGGGAAAATTTCTGGTTTTAAAGATCTCTTTAAAATGGATGTTTAAAAGAAATCGTCTTCCTATTCTGTATAATAAGGTAGCTATCATAATAAGATGTAATAAAGTGAACAAGGTCTGACTGATGAAACCATCCAGGGCAGCATGTGCCCCTCCCCCCCCCCCCTCAGAAGTTGAAGATTTTTGTTTTTAATTGATGCATAATGGCTCGATTTGGTGCATACTTTTTGCCAAATTAAAAAGATAAAGTTCAATTAACAAGAACAAGCTCGAATCAAATGTAGGATGGCTAACCTTTAATGATGGGAAATGCTGATTACAGCATCTCCCCCGTCCTCCCTTACTTACGAAATACATATTTACATTTTATAGTTCTCTTCCTCCTTGCCCTCCTCCTTCTCTTCACCTTCCGTTTCTTTTCTTCTCCTTCTTTTTTCCCCCTTTTCCTTCTCCTTTTCCTCTTTCTCATTCTCTTCCTCTTTCTTTTTTGAAAATGATAGGTGGCGGCCGTCCCTGTGTGTAAGATATCCGAATCATGATGAAAAGAGCATGATTGAAGAAGGATGAATTGATGAAGTCTGGCAAAATGTCATCATTAAAATGGGAAATAACCCCACTCTGTATACCTCTCTCATATCTCTTCCAATGATACACAATACCCAAACACTTCTAAATGAATGATTCATGTCCGACCACCCTTCATATTGGTTGTGCGGTGGATGGAAAACGCCCTCTCGCAAACTCTTCTGCAAATTGGGCTCTTTCGATAGTAAATATATATGTGTTGTGATTTGTTTTAAGGAAGACTTTAAAGGAAACCTCACCCCAATAATTAACTTTACTTATTCCAAGAGATTAATCATATTCTTCACATTGATCTACGAGATTCCCCACCAAAGTGTATGAGAGAGGCATAAAGCAAGAATAATCATTGTACAGTTCTTCAGCACGACATGGGCCTCGTCATTTTCTTGACAATGTGATGATATGTGAAGGCGTTTATCAAGTAAATATTCAAATTTATGGATGTTTCCTTCTCAGGTGTGTGTGATGATGTAGCACTTCAAGTTTAAGTTTATTTAATTTTACAAGCGCACACTTGTTCATCCAACCACATAAACTTTCGCATCCTACCGGGTATAGGATTTATGTTTACTCGTATTTTTGCATGTCATGATGATTTAACTGTCATTTCAGGTGCTTTTTAATAGCTTGAACGATATTATGTTATATTATTTCACAAACATTATATCAATTTGATAAAGCCTTTGCTGTATGTTCAGCACCGTATTGCATAGGAAATGATGAGCAAATAGAAAAACTCGTTAAAAACACCTTCACGTGTGTGTTCAGAACATCAATCCTTATTCATCACGAATAATATGAAGTCAAGCAGTTTTTCAAACGTTATTGAACCTAAACAGATACATATTACCAGATACTTTGTAAGATATCACAGATAAGTTTCACTTTTGTCAGAAGAAAGTAACTTCTTTTTACAGATACATGTAATGCTAATTGGCGTCTACTGGCTCCCTTCAAATGAGCCTACAACCAGCATCTTCATCCCTGGTCAGTATAGCCTGGCATATTCGAATTTTATTTACCCAGTAAGAGAGGATTCCCAACATTTCTAGTGCCCCCCCCCCCACAATGGGCACTGACGCTACACCATTAGTATAATCATTTCGGGACCTTGATTGATTGAGTGATCAATTGACTGATTGACTGATAGATATAAGGACGGATTGATTTGATTTGATTTGATTTGAATAACTGATTGAATTGATTGATTGATGGAAGGTTATTGCTGGATTGATTTATCTATTGATTTTATTTGACTGCTTGATTGATTGATTGATTGTTTAATTGATGGATTGATTGATCGATTTTTTTTTTTGATTGCTTGATTGATAAATTGATGATATTCACCTATATTCACCTGTATCACCTGTCTTTTCGGGCTCCTTAGTAAAACAATGTCTTCTAATGCCCTCCCATAGTTCATCAGTACACCACTGCAAAGAGTTCGTTCCTTAATACAATAGG